AACGATTTCTTAGCCATTATAAATTTAAATTCAAACATTTTTTATTTGTTTCATAAATTCCGCAAAAGAACAACTTTTTTGCAAGATTATATTGCACAGAACTTCGCCACATTATGATAGCTGAATTTCAGAATATATGATGCCACAGACAACTTTTCTTATTAATGGCATAAAATTAAGTTCTGTTATAGAACATGAAGCTTACGTTAATTTTTTTAGTTGCTGAAAATTCACGTATTTTATATGAAGAACCTTGTAACACACCATTCGGAATATCATATTATATGAATACGGCGTTTTGCAAAATGTGGAGTTACCTAACAAAAAATGTTACTACCTTTGATAAATGTATCAACGAGGAAATTATCAAATAATCATATCCAATGGGCAAAGTTAATTTCAAGTCACAAATTGCAGTGTTGTGAGATAGAACTTAACTGATACAAGCTCTTGCCTGTCTCTATAATTCTGATAAATATATCCAGGCTAAAATTACCAAATAGCCTTATGCTTGATTTTAACAGTACCTTCAACTAGTACTAAAAAACATCTTTCTTTACCAACTAACAAAGTGCCCAGCTTTAGCAAATTTCTTTGTAGCTGAAATTTACCGCGTGTAAGAAAAGTCTTTGATGACCGGTGTTATGTATGTTATCATTTTCCGATCAATTTTGAGATTCTGCCATACCCGATAAATTACAGTGTTTTAGCAATTCTACGTAGAATTTTACTTCAGGTATGGGTACCCGCTAAAGTAAATTGTTATTTTTATCACAGAAATTTGGAGATTTTGTAAACATAATTATTTAATTATGACCTGGTTTCCGCGAAAAGTCAGTAAGTTTTCAAGTAAATGAAGTTACTTTTGCCAAGTATGTAATTGAGCTTTAAATGTTAGTTTACGACCTTAAATGTCATATTATATAATAAATTCTGTAAATATCTTCATGATATTAACACATTTTCAAAACGATTTCGGTAAACAATTTTTAAAATATAAATGTTGTGGTAAACATTTCTGGCTACAGAGTCTAATTAGAAATTAGAAATACTGTCGGATACCTTTAAATTTATTCTTTCGGAAAGTTGCAAGTTAAGAAGCTTGTGTCGAAAGATGTGTTTCTGTCCTTTCCGAAACGAAATTTTGTTATTCCGCAATTCAACAAACATTGTGAAACACGTAATGTAAAAATTTCTAAGATTTAATTTGTCAATGTAATTAACAGGAAAAAAGTACAAGAACCATCGATCGTTACTTTTACAAAAAAAGTAGACTTAAATGAAAATAAAATATTACAAAAAAAGTAGAAGAATACTCGAAAAATGTATATAGTGATTCTAATGTTTTTAAAGCAAAGTCCTTGGTACATTCGGCAGAAATACTGTCGGCACAGAAACAATTCAGAATCTTTAAGCACATATGCAAACAATAAACAAGCAGTTATGGCTGAAAAAAAAACTGAAAAACAGAATGCTCACCGGCTTTTGCCAAAGCATATTGCTTTATTGCTGAAGGCAGAAAACATCCCAAAGCACCGTATGAACACCGTATGAACACCATTTAGCAGTACAATAAATGGGGAAACAGAATGAACGAAGAGAAAAAGAGAGGTAAAAATCTGGTTCGAGGAAGAAAGTGTCAAGAACAGCCTTATTGATTGTTACAAAATGGTTTCTCATATAATGGGAGAATTAAAAATAAAAAGTAAAATCTCTCCATCAGAAAAAGATCTACGTTCGATATTTACAGAAGAAATTTCATTTTTCTTTTCTTTTTAGCCCAAAGGGGGAATTTGCCCAGAAGAGCTATTAATTTCGTTTGGCATTTTACTTTGATTCACTATAAACGGCGAATCACTTTGTAAATTGTTGCCACCAAATATTAGAGCCCTGTAAAGAAATTAAAATATGTTAAATTAAATTATGTATTTAAAGAAATTAAATAATGAGAATATGCGTAAATGTATGCATGTTTCTCGCATTGTGATGAAACAACTGTACCTAGAGCCATCAAATTTTGAATAACGTACATCTCCACCCGAATACGGGCATCTGGAAGCCTGAATTGGGAAATTTTTTATTATCTTTTTCATATTTTGTAAAGCATTTATAAGTTTTTGATTCAGAAATTCAACGATTTCAAAACTAGCAATGTACCCCAAAAAAAAAAAAAAAAAAAAAAAAAAAAAAAAAAAAAAATTTACCTCCAGCGCGCTAGACTGTGTATCGGGAATTCTAAAGATACGCTTTTTTAAATACTTTGTGATATTGCTGTTGAATTGAATTTTATGGTTTAAGTGGCAAGAACATGATATTTAATAAATAACGATAACTCATAAAACGTTAAAAAAACGCCCCTTTGGGGGTAATATAAAATCTGAAAGCTTTCGGATTTTTTTTTTTTAAATTTTATTAAAGAGTAAATTTTAAAAATATTTTTACTTCACAAACGGAAGTTTTTACGATGCATTTACGGTCAGCAAATTTGCTTCAGTTATGTATTTGTTGCAAATACGGTGTCGCAAAGATTTCAAGATTTTACTTATTTGAAGGTTTTTTTAAAATTTACAGTGTGTTATAAATCTCATTCAGAAATTTGAACATACAGATGTCATTTACTTCTATTACCACTTGTCAAAAAATAAATAAGCTCAGCCTACGAATTTTCGCGCTGACTTTGGGAATACATTTATATGTATGTCAACTGCTCTTTTCACATCTGAAAATCGATAAGAAAAGAATGCAATTGACCGAAGCTAATCTACAATCCGTGATGAAAATAATTTCCAGTCATTTCTCTCTAAGGTAGGATCTTTATCAGGATCTAAATGTCATGAAATGTGATGCTATAATAAGATATAAAGACGTTTATAAGGAACTTTCTTCCACCTTCCAGCATGCCTTCGGGGTGTAGCAATAGTACACTCTGCGAGTATTCGATAGGTCTAAGTTCGAGTCCTGGCGAGGGCATTACGAATTTCTTCAGTTTCTTGTCTCGAAATATTCTAAAGGACTCTACAAGTGGCTCGCGAACTAAAATGCGGTAGACGATATTTCGTCATCACCAGGATTTGGCGACTGGGTCTCCTAATTGACAATCGCCCTTTAAAAGGGGGGATATATAAGGTATTTTTCCCTCCTTCGAGCATGCCTTCGTGGTATTATGGTATAATCCCTTAACAGGTTTATAATTATTTATATATAAGCATAAGTACTTTTAATACAGAAAAGGCGTTATCAGATCGAACCATTAAATATTAATGTTTTATATTTTAAACATTAACAAAACTCTCCTGAAATCGTCCTAAAATGTGTTAATATCCTTTGTACAGCTTCTTAAGTTGGGATACAATTGTTGTTCAAATGCACTACTAATATTCAATCGACTTTCTAAGACCTCGGTGATGCAATGAACATGTTTAATGAGATTCTAAGTGATGGAGAAAAACTCGAGTCGATTAAGACATGACAATAATACAGAACGTGACTAAGAGCTTAATATGAAACGATGAGTTAAATCAGCAATGCGAATCCCAAGATTTTATTTTCGCTTTGCGTGAAGTTAAGTTTTAAACCTTAACTTCAAAACGCAAAGCTAATTATAGCGTTCTGATATTTTTATTTGTAGGCAGTGACAGCAGCGCCGGCGCTAGGGGCGGTGCAACCGGTATGGCCTCACCGGCCGACAGAATTTAGGGAAGGCAAAAAAAAATGTTTAGAATTTAGAGAAACTGATCAGCAGCATTTTTAGAATTTAGCTGGGTAACACAATACAGGGACGGGGAAATTTTCAGAAATTAGGAAGGCAACGGGCAGTAAAGCTTTGGACTCACAGAAATTTCATCGGTCGCTAAAATGTCTAGCAGCTTGGGTGGCGGATGCATATTGAGAGTTCCCTATTTCACCTGAATTTTTGAAGACCCTCATCTTAAGGTATGTTTACTGATCTTTAAAAGTAATTAATCATTTGTAGGCTCCATAGAATGTAGTGCCTCTCGCAGTTGCGAATTCCTGGTCCCTATAAATCCGCCTCTGCTTATATTATTAGTGGACACACTTCAGAAAAAGTAAAGTAACCTAAAATTTTATTAAAGTATTGAATAGTAAAAAGCTTCGAAAGCATATGATAACAAATTTATTATGCTGAAATTGCTATTATTCATTCCATCCCTTTAAGAATAACTGCTAACAGTAAATGTAACAAAGCAGATGTACGGTACATTTAATCAAAGCTATCCAATATGATTCGAAACCCATATTGTATAACGATATAATTCATATTTTTAAAATATAAAAAATAATATTTGAGCATAAAAGACCTTCGAGCATTGAAAATCTCAGATACGTGCAAGCAAAATATTGAAAAGTACAAATTAAAATCTTCGGTTTCTAAAACATGGAAAAGAATTATCAGTTTGATAGGAAACTTTACATCAAACTTCTCAGGATTGTTCAGTAATGTTCAGTTAAAATCTAAAGTTTGGTATTCAGGATTATATATCATAAACAGCTGGTGTTTCTTTAAGTTACAGAATTTTCCAGCTGTTGTCGTTATGGTTACCCCATAGCATTTGCAAAGTATCACGTTCATGTGATAAAGATAAATATATGGGTATTGAATAATTTAACTGATCTTAATTGTTTTGCTGAACCTATAACAAAGATTTCTTGTTCTTAGCAGCCCTTAGATGCTAAGAATATGCCTATTAAATAGAAACTCATCTTAATTGTTTTGTTTGATCTTTCATGCAGGTTTCTTGTTCTTATAAGAAGAATGCTTACAATCGGCTACTAACAGCTCCGGAAAGAAATGAAGAAATATGCAAAGATAAATCACAATGACTTCCCACCTGTTTTAACTGATTACAGTACAAGACTAAAACTATGTCTCTTACCCCACAAAATACAACTAATAATGCTGTTGCAATTGCGTGCTTGCTTAGAAAACAGAGCTTAAGAAGACGAAAAAACTAAAACAAACAAAAAGAAACACAACTTACCAAAACCAGTCTCAATAGTAGAAGTAGGCCAACACACCAATATCTTGTCAGTTCCATGATTACTTTTGCACACAAAAACTACAATGCAAGAAAAACCACAGAAGAACTAAGTTAGAAGAGTTATCTCACAACTCAAGTAGCTCCCATGACGGTCACAAGGGGATGTCAATCCGCGAAATATCGGTTGTTTTTACTCCTGTATAACGTCATAACGTGAGTCAAAATCCATGAGCTCTGCGCAGATCTTACGCGAACGGAATCATACACGACAATAAGTTACTTCCTTTCTCCTCACCTGGTAGCGAGGTGGCGCTGGTGTCGCTCGACAACTTTTGCTATTGTTGTTGTGCTGTGACGTAACGATATCGGGAGTGGGAAAACTACTCTATTGGCTACAGAGTTGTAGACGACTTTGTTTTGTTTTCAGTATTACTTTTCTAGAGAAAACAGGTGTCTTTTTTAAGCTGGAGAGATTGATAGAAAGACGGTGAAAGGTAAAAGGGAAAAATTCAAGGGCTTCAGGCAAAAAAGAAAAAGTTATTACTTCGATGGGCTTCACTTTTTTTTTTTTTTTTTTTTTTGTTTTTTTTCGGTTTTTTTCATAAAAAGGGCAGGCTAATGATGACAATTAATGCGCACATAAAATCAAAAAATAAATTAAATTTTATAATTAAGTTGAAGAAATTAAACAGCTTCATCAGTTGTCAATATGACGTATGTAAGTGTTTACCAAACTACAGATCGCATACCATTGTAGCACATGAAAGTTTTCTGATTAACCTTTAATAAAAAAAAAAAAATTATGAAGTTTTGTTCTTAAAATGAGAATCGTCAAGATGAAGATGTTTACAGAGGCGTATCTGAATTCCATAAAAGCATGCTGCTTAACATCAAATTAAACAATAATAATGATAATGTGTAGGAATTATTTTTAAAAAATTCACCAGCTTTGAAAACTGAAGTGGAAACCTTCATACAATTTTAAAATTAGTTGCGATTGTTAAACACTTTATACCTGAATCGCAATTCAGTTTTGCTTGATTTATGAAAATCGTAATATAGTATTTATTAGCCACCTATATTATTCAATTGCTGCTTTCTCGTAATGGTGAAATGAAGTCCTTCCAGTGGTACAGTCAATACTGATATTCGTAAAATTCGGGAAGTAAACGTGTCGCTCATAACGTTATGAAAATTGTTGGTGTTTATATATGGTAATAATTCATGTGTAAGTTCCTTTTCTACTTGAATAAAAAAGTGAAAGACGGTCAATTTACATAATTTTGTAGTACGGAGTAGTTCTAAGTTTATTAGTCCAAAGGGCGTTAGCCCAGAAGGGCTATTAATTTCGTCTTAGCATCTTTGCGTTGGTTCACTGTAAATGTCGGTTCACTTTTCAAATTGTTCCCACCAAATATTACAGCCCTGTATTATATTTAAAGAAATTAAATAATGTAGAATCTGCATAAATGTATGTACGAATTTTTGTTAAACAAGCTCAACGATTTCAAAGCCAGCAATGGCAACACGTACGGGCTAAAAAAATAAATAAATAAATAAATAAAAATAAATAAAAAATCTTCAGCGCGCGAGACTGTGTATAGGGTGTATCGGAAATTCTAAAGATATGCTCATTTTAAAATTATTTTGCGATTTCGCTGTTGGATTGAATTTTATGGTTTAAGTACGAAGAACATGATATTTAATAAATAAAACTAACACACTAAACGTTAAAAAAACAGCCCTTTGGGTGTAATGTAAAATCTGTAAGCTTTCAGATGTTTTTTTATTTAATACTTGTTAAAAGTTAACAATTTTAAGTTTTATCAAACACATTTCGGGAAAGTTAGTTTAAAAGAAGAAATTTTCTCTTCATTTAGAAAGCTCTCGGATTCGAATTTATTTTAAAAACAAGACCCTTTAACATTTCTGTTTGAATATATGTAATTTCACAATAGACGTACCTTATTTCCCATTTTTAATTCACACTCTATTCTTTTAGGAAAAAAGGCCTTTTACTATTGTGTACTAACTAACTATGCTTTTTGATTGGAACAAACTGAGAAATCGTTTATTTGTTCTAAGGTATTCACACAAATTCTTAAACAATTATTCACAAAACAAAAATTCACAAATTCTTATTATTATTTGGAACAACAGGAAATATTTACGTATAGTTCTGCCAACTTTTTCTTCTCTTTTTTGGATTTAGCGACTTTATGTAATATATGTATAATTTATGTATTATAGTATCAGCTCATATATCAAAATTTCGAAGTGGCAGCTTTTATTTTCCGAAGAAATTTTATGATTTATCATTCGATTTAAAATTTCATTACTTTTATTTTTATGCCTTCATAAAGTCTTGCAGGTATTTTTAATTTGCTGATTCAAATGAAAACCTGACCTCGCCATGTTCCCGTCCATTCGTGGAAAGCTTTGAACTTATTATAATGTAACAGCGAAATATTTCGTATATTAAAATGGATGCCAAAAGCATAATGAGGTTTCTAAATTTGTCCTTTGGTCTAAGCAGCTTGTTCTGTCGCTATCAACCAAAGAAAACCAAGAAACAGACCAAAACGGAAAAACCTTAGCAACATAAACTACTAAGCTGCTAAATTTTTGCATTACGTAGTTCAAAAATATCTCCTTCTCCTATTTTATATTTATTGTACATACCGGTTAAAGAAGGGCGAAATCTATTACTTGTAATATTTTTTTCCCACAGAAATTTCGAAAGCCTGCCGAATTATGTTCTTTGGAAATTTCAGCCACTCTTCAAATTTCTAGAAAAGTTGTTTAGTGATACAAATAGAATACTCTGTCATATTCAACTTTGAAGCACGTTCAGAAATAAGGACTAGCAAGCTTTAAATTAAATACAGTACAATGTCTTTTTCAGAACATAAATACAGTACAATGTAAAGGTCAGTGCAGAAAAATTTCCTCTAGCGCGTTAAGAAATAGTGATAAATTTCGGTAAACAATGAACATTTTCTTCTTATAAACTGTAATTCGATAGCAAGCAATTCGTCATGTTGACGCATTATGATTTTTGAAGTAGAAAACACGGAAAATTAGCAATGCCCTCGTCGGGACTCGAATCTGGACCTCTCGAATACGAGCCTAGTGTGCTACCGTTACACCACGAAGGCATTCAGAAAGAAAGAGGGAATACCTTATAAAATCCCCATTTTAAAGAGCGACTGGGGATAAGGGGACCCAATTGCCAAATCCAAATTAGAGACCCAATCCCCTTTGACGATTCTTCACCATCCACCACCTTGTAGTTCGGGGCCACTATAGAATCATTTAAAATGTTTTCGATGTCAGTAAACTGATGAAATAAGCAGTGCCCTCTCCAGGACTCGAACCTGGACCTCTCGAATACGCGTCTAGTGTCTATCGTTACACCATGAAGGCGTGCAGAAAGGAGGGAGAAAATAATCTTATAATCTACTATTTGGATTACTACTATTATAAGGCACTACTATTTCGTACTGTGGAAGGGAGAAGGAAGGAAAAAGAGTTCTATTTTCCGTATTTTCGTCAACTGAATGCGGTTCGTTCTTCAGCATGCACTCTCTTCTTACAGGCTCCCCGGCCCGAGATAAACAAGACGTCGCTTGATTTATTTAACTATCGCAAAGCACTCGAGGGCTATCCACCTAAGGGAAAGGATGCCTTCGTGGATCACTTTCTAAAGGAAGTTGCTTCACATACACATTACACATGGGGAAAACCGCGAAAACGCTGCAGCCAGCCCGTTCGCCTGGATTCGAACCCAACTGGGAATTACCAGTGTTCATCTCGGCCGCTGGTGGACCCAAACAGGACGTAGGAACACGCAGCTCGTTTCGTTTTGAATTTCTGATTCTGAAATTGATAATTCAATGCATAACTACAGATTAAATGCAGTTAATGTAGATTTACAATGTCAATGGATTAGAAAATAATATTCCTTTTTTTTAGTTAATTTTTTTTTTCATTTATAGGCATGCGGTTCAGCGCATGCATCGCGTGCGTTAAAAGGGCTCACCTGGTTGTTTAAACATGAGGAATGTTCAAATATCAATAGGAATTTGCCAATTAAACTTTATATATTGAACACAATGAAATGATTTCGATGATTTCTGTGATGACATTATTTAAAGGAAATGATTGAATGAAATGATATACATACTTGAAGTCACCTGCCATTGCAATATTCATTTGTTCTACTTTCCAAAATTGTTTTCAAAAGAATCAAAGTACTTTGACTACATGTTTATCTTCTTGTGCAACGTGAAGGGTCTGTTTATTGGACTTGAATGTCTTCCCTTCTAAAAATTACCAACAAATGGCGGTTTTGACTAACATTTCCATACTACCAGCACTTATATTTAAATAGAGAATCGCCAAGGAATTTAATTAAGTTCCTTAACGGTTTGTCGGATAGTGATTCCTAGATTGATTCCAATTAGTGCACCAAGGGCTGTCAGCTGTCTTCATGAGTTGAGGTTTTCGGCCGACGAGCATGTGGTTCAATTTGAACACTCACCCAACTTTCTTTAAACGATTTGCACCAACCATATACGCTATACCAGTGGTTCTTAACGTGGGATGCGTTTAGCCCTGATGGTGCAAGAAAACTGATGGTGCAAGAAAGCGAGAGAGAGGCTTTTAAATGTTTGATGGAAACTACCGTTTGATTACCTCTGTAAGAAATTAGAGAACGCTGCGCCAATGTTTGAGACAGAGAGTAAGTTAAAACATAGGAGAGTTTTCCGAGTGCTCCCCAGCCAAGCGTTAAAGTAAGGATGTTGTTGCAAAAGCAGCATTACAGACTCTTTTACCATTTGCCACCATCTACCTGTGACGAATGAGATTTTCATCACTTTTTAGCATTAAAAGCAAAAGCTGGATATCGCGTAAATGGTGACTAACGCGTGGAACTTTACAAACCGAAGCCTCGCTTCTAAAGTATTATTACGAATAAAATCAACATTATAGCCATTAAAAGATGATATATTGTTTTGTATGTACATGTAAAGTTTATTTACATTTATTTACATTTCATTTATTACAATTTATTTAGATTTCAATAAACAAATAATTTGTATATATAAAAGGAAGAGTCTGTCTGTCTGTGTGTGTGTCTTTCTTTCGTGCTGTGCGTAAGCTAATTGACCCAGGACTAAGAAACTTGGTACATAGGATGCATGTAGAAAACAACTAGTACACCTCGAAGCGATTTTCTGAAAATTCGAATGATTTTTTTTTAATTGTTAAGA